TATATATATATATATATATATATATATATTATTTATTTGTTGTGTGTGTGTATGTGTGTGTGTGTGTGTGTGTGTGTGTGTGTGTGTGTGTGCGCGCGCGCGTGTGTGTGTGTGTGCGTGCGTGCGTGCGTGTGTGCGTCCTTGCGTGGGTGCGTGCGTGTGTGTGTGTGCGCGCGCGTGCGTGAGCGTGTGTGTGTTTAAGTTTACTAATAAAGTCAGGGTTACATAACGAATCTGTGACGCTGTATCTGCCCTGTCTTGATTTGGAGACAACTACGGCAAGCTCTCGTGCAACACAGACCTACAGCTCTACCCTTGGCAAGCTCTCAGACCTGCCACCACCTCACAAGATGGATCCGAAGGGTTCCAACCTTTCCCCAGTACAACCATAGCCCTCGTGTGGCATTATTATGTGTGCCCAATATTTCTTCCTTGTTATACGTAAAATTATCGGTATCATGTCAACCTAAGTAACCGGTCCTATTGGCTGCATTAATAGCATGTAAGACAACAAAAGAAAAGTAGCAAAGCAATAAATAATAAAACTTCCAGAATAGCAGTTAAACATATAGGTTTAAATTACAATACGCTTCGGTCTGTTATCAAACACAAGATATAGTAGAAGCATACGTTGAGAAAACACACGGAGCACGCTAGTAAGAACGCAATTCTAATCGTATTCCAATGATGTCATAGTTTTCCATTCGTGCTCTAAGCTCGGCTCATTAAACATTCACTCTTACACGAAAACACAAGAAATCCATGTATTTTGTTTTACGTTGCGTTATTTTGGCGCGACGAAACACATACCAGCCGATTCACATTAGATCGCGATTGTGGAATAACGTGTAAATATGAAATCCATCTAATGGCAATAATTATATATCAGAAGAGATGGTATAGATATAAGAGCCCTATAAGCATGCATTCAATTGCAATATAACAACAGCTAAAAATATGCGCCGGCAATATTCAATTTTAGTTTACAATGAAACTTATGCACACGCGACCTATTCAGGTTAATCGCACGAACAAATGAATAAATATGCAAATTACAGTTAACGCCGTAGGGTGAAATGCTTTAATAATGTTCATCAAAAGACTCACTCAGTACATATAACATGTGAACGCGTAGTTACAGAACGCCAATTGGCTGACAACACTGTAAACGTTTATGCTATACGCATTACTTGTGCCATTATATAATCGTTGCCTGTCATCATATGAACGTCGGATAGCATCTAGATGATCGAGAGTTCGCGAGAAATAGCGAGAAAGTTACGAACCATAAGCGTACAGTATGATCGTAACTGTGTATATAATACCAATATGCCAGGGATGGCTAAAAACATTCAATAATTTGCGGGTAACGTCCGTACGGACTGAGAAATTGTGAAGCGATGCTTTGTACCATTTCACGGTGTGCAGGCGGAAATCATCGATTCTCCCGGCTCCAATATCGCGAATTCAAAGTCGACTGAGTTGTAGAAATCACCGCTTGACACGAGACGTACAACCGAGTTTCCGCAGCCAAGTGGCACTTCCAGTTCTGTAGGAATTAAAAATAATGCATAGCACTTTGCTCAGTACTAATCATGAACCTTGCTATCGCAAGGGTATATGTAACATTATTATTACAATCAGGCTTCAGAGTGGTAAAAATATATACGCGTACATAATGCCCTCGGTGGCATTTCAGATGAGAATCATCTCATTATTTATTACAAACTGACTGTAATCTTGCCAAGTAGGGAAATATTTGCTCAATAGTGTTTTTAGGTTGTATTTAATATACACAGAACCCATATAGCATCAACAGCTTGCTCGCTAACCGTGCTGGTCACCGGACGCTGTTAACTTGACTCATGATTCTATGAACCCTTATATGCTGAATAGCGATGTGACTAAATAAAAAAATTGCCTATAGAATGGATAAGCTATTCAACATGAACTTGCTTTTTGTGGTAGCAGTTGCAACTCCACACATTTGAAAACTGTAGCCCATTTTCTTCGGATCCAAGCCATTGCCTGCCCTGAACTCGACGTAATCTTTCATTCCGCGCTTAGCGCACTAGAAAAATACGTCATACTATTTATTTATGATTCACCAACGCGATTGATCTTTAAAATATAAATCAAAACAGTGTACAAATCCGGACGATAACGAAATAAACTCGCAAAATGATGCAATTGAGGATGCAAAATTACGATACAAGTGAAGTATCGTTGCAGCAATGTATACAACTCATGTACTTTTTGCCATGCTCGTTCGGTATGCAGAATGCTGACATGTATGCAATGTGACAAATCAGCAGCTAGTCAGCTGCTAAGCTGGCAATAAACTTAATTTTATTTCTAGTGCGACTACGTAGCTCGGTACTAACTATCCTTCTCAGTGCTATTATAAAATGGAATAGAAGTGCAATGTATCTACAATCCGGATGCTACGAACTACATAGAGGGTTACCAAGGCGTGTTTTGCGTGCACGTTTAGCATGATCAGAGTGAGTAGGCCTAGTGATAGTGCTGACTATAATACTAACTCAGCTGCGCATGGTGGTGATAGCAGTGTCAGTGCTAGTATGGGTTGTGATGGTAATAGTGGTGGTGGTGGTGGTGGTGGTGGTGGCGCTGGTGGTGGTGGTGATCATGGTAGTGGTGGCAGTGGCGGTGGCGATGGCGGTAACGGCGACGTTGGTAGCGGTGGCGGCGGCGGCGGCGGCGGCGGCGGCGCGGCGGCGGGGCGGGGCGGCGGCGCGGTGGTGGGGGCGGCGGTGTGGCGGCGGTGTTGGCGTGGGGCGAGGGCGGTGGCGGCGGTGGGGGCGGGTAGCGGCGGTGGCGGCGGTACGGTGACGGTGGCGTGGCGGCGGCGGGCCGGCGGTAGCGGCGGTGACGGCGGTAAGCGGTGGCGGTGGCGGCGGCGGTGCCGGCGGTGGTGCGTGGAGCGGCCGGGGCGGCGCGTGGCGGCGCGGCGCGGTGGCGTGGGCGGCGGTGGCGGCGAATGCGGCGGTGGTGGCGCGCGTGCGGCGTGCTGGCGGCGGCGGCACGAGGTTGGCAGTGGCAACGCGGGCGGCCGGGCGGGAAGCGAACACGCGGCGGGCGGCGGCGGCGATGGCGGCGGCGATGGCGGCGGCGATGGCGGCGGCGGCGGCGGCGGCGATGGCGGCGGCGATGGCGGTGGCGTTGGGAAGTGGCGGTAGTCATTATCGGTATTGGAGATAGCATGAATGATGGCGGCGTTAGTAGTGATAGCGCTGCTGCTGGTAGAGGTGGCAATGATCGTGCTGGCGGTGGAGGTAGCGGCGGTGGTTGATAAATTAGCTACTCGCAGTGCAAAATTGCTGAGGAGTACGAAAATGAATAATTTTATGGGCTTTCGTGCTAGTACTCGAGGTTATCGAGATCCGATCAAGCTGTAGTGCAATAGGTGCCGAAATACAGACAGCTTTGGGTACATACCACGACCACCGACCAGGGTCGGGTGGTACTACTGCCGCTCTGCATAATAAACGTAAGATTAGTATTTATATATTGAGTGCTCACGATATCCGCACACATACATAGCATAACCGGAATACATGTTTGTACTGAACACGTAAGACCCATAATACGGATTCCAGCTGGTACGCGCTATCAGCCAGCCTTCGTATCAAGATTACATGAATATAGAACAACGAGTAATTATAACTCATCAAGAATATTCAATAAAACGTTGAATAGTTTACCCATAAGAACAGTTATAGCGATTCGCTGGAGGGTCGCGGTAGCCACGCATTTCACCTGTCGCCTATTATAGTTCAGGGTTTGAAAATCTCAGCTCATGCGTACCTGTCCGAGTATAGGGGATCGCCGCACCTGGGCGGCGACACCGGTGTACTCCCGCTCGCCGACAGTGAGCTCGCGCACGCGCACTCGCTCCGGATAGATCATCGAAAAGCTGCAGTTAAGAGCGCGTCCCCAGTTTCGAAGAGAGTAGTGTCCGTTGGGCAATCTGGCGATTACGTTGCACGCTAGAAAGGAAAATGCGCTACAGTTAATTAAATCTGTGAGCCCGCGTGTCGGGTTCACGTGTTAGCTGCATGCAATCCTCAAAATAGTTATGAATTCAAATGAAGGCACTGCGGGTTACAATCCGGCTGTTATTACACTGGTTGTAGTTTGTTATTTATAGACACAGATGTACATCTTCCACTATTATGGCTTATTAAAGTCGTCTTAAGTAACATATTTAAACAGACAAAAAAAACCTATATACTTTCATGTGCAACAAGAGGGAAACCTTATTGTTAGACTAATATCGAATTTTGGCGAGCAATGCGAATGTATCAAGTACGCCATCTTGAAGTGCGGAAGACAGCAACGTATTTCTTTTTGTAAGGTTGCTAGATATGTGTTTACATAATATCAGGAGTAGATAATAGGGAACCTATTATCTACTCCTGATAATATATATACATATATATGCGTGCGTGCGTGCGTGCGCGCATGTCTGTGTGTGTGCGCATGCGTGTCTGTGTTTTTGTGAGAGCACGTCCGTGGGGTGGGTGTGGGTGTGTGCGTGCGTGCCCACCTATTGATGCGCGCGTGGGCATGGGCGTCGGCACGAGTTAGTGCGTGTGGTTGAAGGTGCGCATGTGCGTGCTTGCTTACGTATACACGCGCGTGCGTGCATGTTGTGTAGTACTGCTGCTGCAGCCACGTACGTGCTATTTTTAATAACTACTTGTCGTATGCAAGAAAGGTATTTTTTATATAATTCGCATTGGTAGTACATAAACAGGAAGTCAACGTATAAAAGCTCATATCTGGAATCATCAATGCACAACATACGTTTTGGGTTTGGAACGAACTTCACATGAACGGAAAATCCACCAGCCACAGGAATCCGGTGCTGTACCATCGCGACGTTTTGAGACGATATAAATATTTTATTCGGCTTGTCGTCACCGCAATACGTTTTATAGCGCCTGTCAAACTCTTGAGGGTGGTCTTCCTCGTTTGGAAAGAGCTGCCCATCCAGCTCCCAGCCGTCAAATACCTGGAATGTGAGACAGTGTCATTTTAGTCGTTACACATATAATTGAAGTTATCAAGATAGTAATAATGACATTTTATACACATTTTGTATATATATATATATATAAAGCAATTAAATAGTCTAATTTCTTAAGTTATAGATAGATAAACCTGTAAACTTGGCTATAACCCTGGAATATTTTACTGCTTCCTGTTTGCCATAAAGGTTCAAACGTCCATGTCCAATGGATTACGTTTATGTCCAATTTCACATGCGTATGATTCATTCTGTCCTATAATTGTTAGTTAAGTTTGGGATAACAGAAGGATAGTGAGTAGTAGACAGGAAATGGACGCAATCGCAAAGTATTTGAGTTAATAGCAGTCAATGAATAGATGTATAGGAATAAGGATGAGTATAGGAAGTTTATTTTTTGTAGGGTTGGATATACTTACCCCAAGTAGTCCATCTTTAATGCAAGCGACATCAACATACTTGAAATCCAGCATTACAAATTGATTAGGTTCACCTATTACGTAGAGGCCGCAGACCTGGTCTGAATCTCCAGACATGTACCAGTACGTACCTTCTCGACTGACGATGGATATGCATTCTACAAAAGCAACAATATGTAAATTGTTATAGCTGTTAGAATTGCTGTATAATGGCGTAATTTGCTGGTTATATCGTTTGCCCTGCGCATTCACGGGCTCTCAATTTCACTTGCCCTTAAATAGTTAATCGGCCTGAAGATAAATGCTTTGTGCAATCGATTAGGATAGACTTAATGTTATTGGATAATTACCTCAATTGCACGTTCCAAAACTGCGTTGTAGCTATTTCATAAATGTACACGAGTGTACAACGATGTGATTTACAAAAAAGAAGGAATTGTAATAAATGTGGCTGAAATTGGAAATTTATTATTCCTTTCTCATAACACTGACGTACAATAGCATAATTATACCGATCTATTTTTATGCACATGAACACAAGTCACCTTGATTTATTTGTATGGGAAATATAAGACTTACAATTAAATAGTGCAAATATTTAAATGCCGAAATAAGCTGTTGCAGCCACTGATACGGAAATCTACTATTGCAATAGTCATTATTCGGCCAGATAAATGATCAACGTTCAATTATTCACCTATCAATGACTTCAATGAGTAATGAGCAGTAACGTGCTAAATTCGACCTATTTCTCTGTGCATGTTACATTCACTTAAGTTATTACGTGGGATAAATTATTTCTACCCAGGTAACAAAATTATTTTTGAGTACGATGGCCTACCATATGCGATCCATATAGTCGAAATTGCAATATTGACTAAAAACTAGGATATAACGGCAATAGATACTACACCTAGAGACTTTGATGCATGCGAGACGTCGATATTACGCGTCATCAAGGCTGATTACCGATAAATTAACCCGTTCCTGCTGAAGTAGCGAGAGAAAAATGGTTCATATCAAGTTCTGCGATCTCCTGTATGGTAATTTCAATACCAAGGCAAATACACAACAGCCAACTGGTGCAGCCGCATCATCGTTGAAATTGCAGCCGTGCTCGCGCAAATGAATGTTCTATGTGAACATGACATAATATGATATATATATATAATATTATCTATATGTGTTATCTGTGTTATATTTTCAGGATCATGTACGTGCAATAAAACTCCAGTTTATTCAGAATCAGCCACGTACAATACTATGATATATGATATATATATATATATATATATATATATATATGATATATATATGACCTATATATATATCACTACAATGGCGACACAGCACACTCGAAGCGGCGAGTGCGGGATCGGCTAGTTCTGCATTAGTTTCTGTGAAAGCAAGTTGATATACAGTGACACAACAGTGGAAGTGTAATTGAGGGGTAGTATTTGTGAATGTGCGTTCATATTATTTTCAGTTTTTACTGACTCTTTCCCAAGTGACTGTGGTTTGAAACATTCGACCCGACACTTTCACTTTGTAGTCTAAAAGCTTTGAATGAACGTATTTCTGAGCAATGTTTTTACCTATCACACATATATAAGCAAGTACAGACATGCAATGATAAAATAATTCATTTTTGCCTGATTTTATATTTGCCGCTTGAAACTTCGATGGAAGGTACCTTTAATGCGACTATTTTTCCTTTCTTAATTAATTTCTAATATGCTTATGAGGAAACGGCCCGCGGACTGTAATCCGGCGACGTGGCGTCCATGATAAATTTGTCAACACGTGCTGTCTGTCAATTCTTATAGCGAAACCGTAACATGCAGTGCGTAGAAAGATTGCAAACAACGCGTAAAATGCAAGCGTACTAACATATTTTGTATTACTATTGTATACAGATAGGTAGTATTGAAAACTACGAAACTGCAATACTCGCTTGAATTTTACGGATGATGAGATAAGGGTTAAATCCCCCTCTCAGTATCTGCGAAACCTCCGCCACAGCTTAACAGTCCCCTCATATATCTAGATATAGCTATCGATCTAATTTGTAGTTGGGTTTAACGCGGCGGTGACACATCATAAACCCCTACAAAGAGAGAAAGCGAAAGCGAAACGAAGCGAAGCGGTTAGAGAGTAAACCGCTACACTACGATCAAGGATGAGAAATCCTTCAACAAATTCCTGGATCCAGATCTGGATCCGGATCACCACCAAAATATAATCGATTGGTTCTTAAGGAGGGTAGGCCTACAGGGGGTTGTCTTTCTCCCGCCTCCCTTCCCCTTTCCTAACACCTCCCTCCCCTGCCCCCTTATCTCCCTCCCTCAACACCTCCAGGATCCTTTATATTTTTATTTTTATTTTTTGAATGTCACTTAGTTTCTCTGACAGTTTGCGTAATAAATGTATTTATCCTGTACAATGTATTTTCTCATGTATTTATTTTTCGTGCTATGGATTTCTTATAGTTTTTCCTCTAAAAACTAAGTATGACTCTCTCTCTTCTCTCGTCTCTCTCTCGTTCTCTCTCCTCTCCTCGGTCTCTCTGTCTGCCGGCTCGTCCTCTCCTCATCCTCTCTCGCGGTCGCTCGTCTCTTTCTCGTCTCGGTCTCGGTCTCCTCTCTCTCTGCTCGCGTCGCCTCGTCTCATCCTCTCTCCTCACCACTTCTTCCTCTCTCTCATCCTCTCGCCCACTGGCGCTCTCGTCCTACTCCCGCTCCTTCCGCCTCATCGCTGCTCCGCCCCCTTTTCTCCCGTCATCCCGCCCTGCTTCTCCCGTTTCCCGTCCCCCCGCTTCTCCGCGTGGACACCAACCCGCTTGTTAACCCCTCGCGTTATTGGCCCAGGACCGAACGCCGTCAAAATCAAAATCTGTCCGTAATTTTTTTTAGATATCCGTTGATCAGACAAACAAACCAACAAACCAACAAAACCAGCAAACACACAACGAACAGGGACGAAAACTAACCTCCTGGCGGCAGTAATGGAGGAAAGGCCAGCATGTAAAGTATGTGCTATGTGAAATATTAACTATTTAAACCTCAAACCATACATTATACCAACAAAAAATGCACGAAAGTGTGAGCGCTTACACATGTAACGTCACAACGCTCCTATTCGTTACATTTGAGCACACTAGCATGCTTCATACATTAGCATTTCTCACGCTATTCTTCGTCAACCAGTTCGGAATCAGACGTGAATGCCGGTGTGAACCGAGTGCTCACTCCGATACGCCTTGTAAAAAAACAGTAAGCCCTAATCCCGCACATCTTAAACCATTTTAGCATTTGCGTCTATGCGAATATAATCGGCATCCTTAATAGTTTTTATAGAAAAGTGATGGGAAGGACTGCGGTTGTCGCTATTCATACTTGATATTTTGATAATATATATTACTATAGTACTATATATATATAAATATATACTGCGAGGTACTCCAGTGTTTGCTACAGGGCATTGCATCGAATACGATCCGCAAAAAATAAAAAAGAAGGGGAGTGAGGCTGCAGAGGTTGGGCTGGGAGCTGCTCATAATAAGATCAGGGAGAGACAGATCTGGGCCTAGTAACGTGGAAGGGAAAGCTACATTTTGATATAATAATTTTTGAGAAGACTGCCTCGTAATATGGCAAGAACGGCCTTGTAAATTTTAGCAGAGTACCCTAATTACCGTTACGACATGCCGCTGTGTGTTGTGTGTGTGGTGTGGTGTGTGTGTGTGTGTGTGTGTGGTGTGTCCGTCAGTGTGCGCGCCGGCGCTTGGCGGCTTCGTGCGTACGTGTGCGTGGCTGCGTGCTGCGTGTGCGTGTGCGTGTGCGTGTGCGTGGTGCGTTTGGCGTGTTGCGTGTGCGTTGCGTGTGCGGGTGTGCGTGTGCGTGTGCGTGTGCGTGTGCGTGTGCGTGTGCGTGTTGCGTGTGCGTGTGCGTGTGCGTGTGCGTGTGCGTGTGCGTGTGCGTGTGCGTGTGCGTGTGCGTGTGCGTGTGCGTGTGTTATATCGAATATGTCGAAAACGTTATAAATTCAGTGCTGCCCTTGACACCCGGTTTCGGGCAACATTGATGGTTTCTAGGGAGAAAGTTGCTTGACTTAGCATCTGCCACCAATGATTTATTACTCATTATCTCAAACATTATATTAAACTATAAATAACTGTCGTCCATGGTTGCATTTCTATACATCTAATCATAATCTAGAGATATAGACAGGGATCTACGTTACACAGAATCTTTTTCTCCATATCGTAGCGGCCATCAGTGGCGAGAAACGGTGTTCATGTTAGGTGGAAATATAACATAGCGCACACATAACACAGACACGCGCGCGCGCGCGCGCACGCACGCACACACACACACACACACACACACACACACACACACACACACACACACACACACTCACACACACACAAACTAACCTATTTATCTATATTATAAAATTAACTTTACTATATATGCGAGACTGGATATCGGGGATAACATTGATTTTCTCAGTCTACAAAAATCTATGTTGCTTGAACAGTAAGACAACTATTGTTTCCCTATGTTTAAAATTATAAATAAATAACACAAATACCAGTGCCGATATGCCAGTAGATTTTGGTAGCGGCTAGCAGCTATCCACCAGGCAGAATATAAGCGGTACATTCTAGTCCGGAAGCAACGGAACTGGCAATTTTACCTCTACCGGAATATCTCTCTCACTATTGTGATATTTTTTCTTTCAGCTCCTCGTGTGAAGGATGAAGATTCGTAGCGATATGTTCCGAGAGTAACTTACCATTCCACATCCTGCCGCGCCACCTTCTAGACTATGAAAAAACAACTTGTTCTGCTAGCATCTATGACAAATACGACATACGCATATACGCTCTCCTATGACACTATTTGTCATAGGAAGATTCTTCCTATGACAAATATTGGCGAGTCAACTTCGTTCCATTTTACAGCTGAAATTCACTGCTTGCGTTCATAATAGCGCTATGATGCGCACAACACATACAACAATATTTGTCATAGAAGAGCGTATATATACGTATGTCGCAT